GGGTACACCTTAGGGCTCCTAAGATCTAACTACTTAAAAAAATTAACAAGCAGAAAAATCAGTGACTGATTGGGTCTGATTGGTCTGACACGTGTATCAGTATAGTTGGACTGGTAGATTTGACACGTATTAACCATTAAATTGGATCAACTAGAATTCCCGATAATAAGGCCCCTCTACTCGGTTAGCAGATCTGATCCAAATTCTGCAGTTTAACTTTCGATTGAAATTAACAAGTCAATAATAGTGAATAGACAATTTTTTCGTAGGATAATTAATCAAACTTACTGAATACTGAATACATTATTAATAGTTTACTGAAAATCATGTCCAAACACTGCAAAGAAATAATCCATATCTTGCTAGAGTATGTGGAGTCAGTGGCGTAACAAAGGGCCCCGCCGACCCCGCTGTGCGGGGGTGCAATTTTACTTTTAGTCTTTAGGGGGGTCGTTTGAATGTGGGAAAATTTCGAAAAACTTAACTACGGTACTAGCAAAACTGCGCGTTTTGGTAACACATTTTTTTAGAGATTTTACCGGCGCACCCTCTAAAATCATCTAATTTGTTCAATTTCAGGGAGGGGTGCTAAAAGGGGAGGTGGCGCCATTAGGGGGCGTTTTTTCGGCGGGGACGCCAACAGGCAACGTTACGCCACTGTGTGGATGTAAACATATTAATCACAGTGCTGGCAAGCACGACCGTTGCATTTATTGTGGGTTTACTGTGTTCCCCATTTACTATTATACCCCCTTTACTATTATACCCCCTTTAGTACACGTTACAAGCCGCCTCCGGCAGGAGTTTTCCAGGCATTAAGACTCATCGGAAGTCGTTCAGCAGATTTATTTTTAGTTCAAAACATTCTAATTTGATGTCAAAGATGACAGGAATAAAAAATAGTTATGTTGAGATTTTTAAGAAATTTGCATAAAATACTCGCCAGCACTGTTATACGAAATTCGGTAAAAACCCAAAATCGCCATATTCAGGTGCCTTAAAAACCATGTTAAAATTGAGTTAGAGATCTGAAATTTTTCAGGGCGTCTAGACGTTGACCAAATCGACTGCAAAAAAAGTTTCGGGTTTCAGAAGCATCGGGAAATGGGTTTTCTAGAACCCCTGTTTTACGATAGATTGTCGTGATACATACATATATATATACATATATTCAGGGATAGACGCTTTGCCAGTCAATTGTAGCCTGTATTTAAGTGTCCATAGATTCAAAAGTAGAAAAGATACAGCCATTTCCGACCACAGGTCTTGCAAATAATTGTTTACACTTTAGTTTACATTGTATAAAAAAATTATTTGACGTCATAAACACCCCTTGATGACGTCATCAAGTTAACCGTTTTTAAAACTTGATTTTTGACAAGTAATAACTTTTAAAATTAATTTTAACCATTAAGGAGTATATTTATTCAAAATCTGAGGAAATTTTTATCTTAGATAATTGTTCAAGCATTCTGAAAATCTACCGGAAAGTTTTTCTAGCTTGCTCCTTCATAAAGATATTCGTCATTGAAGTTTGTGCTTTTTTGAAGAATAATTTTATAAAAACGCTAATTTTACGTTCTAGTATTCTCTGGTGTTGGGCCATGCCTTGGGTTGTGGAGCTCAGTTCTGCTTCCTATAGATATAAATTGTGCATTAGGCTAGTTTTAAAGTTGAAAATCGAAAAGTTGCACACGTGGGGACACGCCCAAATTGATAGAAAATTGCTAAAATAACTGAAAATTGCTGTTTTCGTCATTTTCTGTCAACTTTAGAGTGCCGTTGTAATTACAGTTCTTCTTAAAATATTTTAAAACTTTGCATGCTTATCAAGCTATATATAAAACAATTACATGCAAAAATTTAAGGCGATTCAATATTGGATGCGCACACAACGTCCGCTCAAAGTTTGCACGTGCGAAAGGTGAGAATTTTGCTCATTCGTGATTTCCAACAAATTCTGCTTTGCCACGACAGTTTAATGTCATTATATATGAATTTAATGCCAACTTGAATGAGTATTAAGTGGCATATTCAGTCAGTGATCGACCGATATGCTTCCCTAAACACAAGGAAATGTTTTTTAAAGGAAAAATTTCGAAATCGTTGAAACTTCCTCCTTATTAATGAAGATATCAGTTTATATTTCGACTTTATAAAGTACCCTGACATTATAATCAAAAAGAGATGATATTTTACCAAAACCCATAATCATGGGTAGAGTGGACCGCTGCCAGTGTCTCTCTTTCCCAAACAAAAGGAAATGATATTAATTTGATTGACCGTTCTCAAATGCAAAATGATACCGAGAATGAAATCGGTCGCTCGCTTTTCCCATTCACTTACAATTGTAATAGATTAAGAAGAACTACCCAAAGGCAGCTGTACTCGGCAATGAAGATTCAATAAACTTCAGCTTGTCCAATAAGTAATAACTACCACCCTTGTCCCTTACCCCGAAATACTAGGTATCGACCCGAACGCAACCCAAAGAGATTTTTACAGCATCTGATTGATGTAATCAATCGAAACTTATTTATACAATTCGTAAGCCGTGAATGAATGGGAAAAGCGAGCGACCGATTTCATTCTCGGTATCATTTTGCATTTGAGAACGGTCAATCAAATTAATATCATTTCCTTTTGTTTGGGAAAGAGAGACACTGGCAGCGGTCCACTCTACCCATGATTATGGGTTTTGGTAAAATATATATATACCTTATCGGACCTTATTTGACCGGACATTTAATGAACGGACATAATTATGAACGGACATTAAAATGAACGCTCAAAGCATTCAAAACCATCAAAAATCCAAATTTTTTCATTTTTATTTGGCGCTTTTACAATTTTACTTTTAGCAGATAATTTTAATTTTAATTTTTCATAGAATAAGTGAATAAGCAAGAACGGCATTTGAAACCAACTTTAATCAATGTATTTTCGGACGCTGATTCCGAATCACCCCCATATATGACATAGGGGTTAAATGCTCCCCTGACGAGATATTGGCGAAAAACTGTCTTGATCACTTGATATATATGACCGTGTAAGGAAGTTAGTATAATTTCTCGTTAGGGTTAGGGTTTCAGCATATGCCTTTGCTAAGGATTGGGTTAGGGCTAGTAGTCAGTGTAATAAGCGCCAAGCGCGAGCACAGAACTTTTTTCTCTGATTTCGATAAATTTGGTACCAAAAGTTGTCTAAAAATGTGAATAAAATAAATCCACCGTGTAGCAATTTTCGGAAAAAATGCTACACGGCGCTCCACGTTCGCCGCGCGTGCTTTTTTCGCGCAAATTTTTAGTTTTTGGCCTATAACTTTTACATTTTAAATTATTATCACATAGTTATTATGGTATCGTAATCAGCTCATCGAGACGAAACTTTTAGTACTAATATTTTAAGATTTAAAGGAATTTTTTTTTCAAAAGTTTTTAATCTGAACACAAAAATTTTGAACAAATTTTCGAAAAATTTGGTGCTTTAAATATTATAATTTTGGTACCAAAAGTTGCGTCTGATTAAGCTCATTACGATTCTGTAAGAATTATTTCAAAATATTCAATATTTTAGGAGTTATATGCATTTTAAGCAATAAGTTAACCATTTTTCGTCCATAGTTCACTTTTGCAATGCACAGGAGGCCCACATACATTTCAACGAATCGTGCTACACGGTGAATTTTCATTATTCACAGTTAATAATGACTTTGGTACCAAATTTATCAAAATCAGAGACAAAAAATTCTGTGCCAACTCATGGCGCTTATTACATAGACTATAGGGTTGGGATCAGATTAGAGGGTTAGGGTTTCGAATAGTCGTTCAGGACCAGCTAGAGAGCGGGTTGAAAAAGTCACGTGACAGTCGAGTGTACTGTGTAGAGTGATTAATCATCATCCTTAGCACATAGAGATAGCAAAACATTTATTTTGACTGTCATAGTTTGATAGTCTGCTACGTTATTGTTATGTGGAGCGATTCTGTAGTATATTAAATATTTCTAAACCATGAAATTACTCCCGGTAGAGAGGCTGAAGTGTAAACAAAATACAGCTGAAGTTTCTCACCCTGTATACATTGAGTGGGCACTAATACAGTTAGTACTAGTTACAATAACAGCCCTTTCTTCCGTGTGTTACTCCTCTGTAAACTGTATACTGGTTTTTGTTTACCCTGTTAACATATTGTGTTGTGTTGTAATACCCTTTACTCCGTTATAATCTCGACATAATCTTCTCAAACTGAGCTCTAGCTGCTTTTCCTGACTAGTGACAGAGTGCTACTATTAGTGACACACCAGTGACACACTACTAGTGACAGAGTGCTACTATTAGTGACACACCAGTGACACACTACTAGTGACAGAGTGCTACTATTAGTGACACACCAGTGACACACTACTAGTGACAGAGTGCTACTATTAGTGACACACCAGTGACACACTACTAGTGACAGAGTGCTACTATTAGTGACACACCAGTGACACACTACTAGTGACAGAGTGCTACTATTAGTGACACACCAGTGACACACTACTAGTGACAGAGTGCTACTATTAGTGACACACCAGTGACACACTACTAGTGACAGAGTGCTACTATTAGTGACACACCAGTGACACACTACTAGTGACAGAGTGCTACTATTAGTGACACACCAGTGACACACTACTAGTGACAGAGTGCTACTATTAGTGACACACCAGTGACACACTACTAGTGACAGAGTGCTACTATTAGTGACACACCAGTGACACACTACTAGTGACAGAGTGCTACTATTAGTGACACACCAGTGACACACTACTAGTGACAGAGTGCTACTATTAGTGACACACCAGTGACACACTACTAGTGACAGAGTGCTACTATTAGTGACACACCAGTGACACACTACTAGTGACAGAGTGCTACTATTAGTGACACACCAGTGACACACTACTAGTGACAGAGTGCTACTATTAGTGACACACCAGTGACACACTACTAGTGACAGAGTGCTACTATTAGTGACACACCAGTGACACACTACTAGTGACAGAGTGCTACTGTTAGTGCAGTGATGTTGAAAGTGTCTCCAAATGTTGAGACAGTGAGTTTATAATAAACTTGTTAATGATTGAACTAAAATTAGAATAAGATATCAGAACTGAAAAATTAGTTTTTACCGTTTTAAACTGCACACTGTTCCGATTCTCCCACGCACAGTCACAGTCGCCCGGTTTCTGAACCTGAAAATTAGCGTATAATTGGATTTGGAAGTTTACGAAATTACATAATTAAATCCGCATCTCACTGTACGATAACAGCTTCATTTCTGAAAACCTTTCCATTTTGTGTCACACCTGTTGCAATGTTCACATTCGCACTTAAACCACAGTATACGTATGTACCTTATAATGTTTTATCCGGTTTTTTTTTCGACGAGATTCGAAAATAAGACGAAATGAGGTTTTTTAAATTTTTAAACATTATCCAAGTGAACAGGCAAAATATACATTACTGATTGGGTGTGAGTTTAATTTCAATGGCGGTATATTCTCGTCGCTTAGATTAAATTAAAATATCATGTTTTATTTTGTGTGAAATGTGATACCTATTTTATATGTGCTACATTTCGTAAACACAATATTCTTTTACTGTCACCAAGATGTAATTAGATCGAACACAGAAATTACATCTTGGTTACAGTAAAACTTTCGAGTTTCGCTTATAACTCGCTCATCATATCCAGTTTAATATTATCATCAGTTGTTGGTTACTATAATTGTTTACTGTCCACCTGTTTAACATCAAACACACTTTTTCTGTTCTCATCTACTTTCGTGTACTAACCGTACTTATGATTTGCCCAGCAGTTTTATGTGAGTGCACAATGTATCTGTAACCATGGTAACGGTAAACATGGTAACCGTTACCATGGTAAACATTTAAAACACCTCAAATTGATCTTGTCACGTTACAGATGATGGAGGAAAAAGATAGACGACTGTACGGAGAGCTGCAGCTACCTTTTAACCACAGTTACCTACACGGCCGTATCTACCCTCCCTTTATAAAGGTGACTATTAGTAGTAGTTGTAGTAATAGTAATAGTAGTAGTAGTAATAGTAATGGTACATATCAGCCAGCATTGAATATCCACATGAATGCTCAGGTGTTTACATTTACAATTTAGCTGCATAAGAAGGGAAAGGGGGCTGCATTAAACTTCATATAAGGAGCAGAGGTTTAAGGACACCTGCACTTACTCAACACGATTTAGTACTCATGAGCATTGAGCACGTGTCTTTTTTATCCTTCAAACCAATTATTTGTTCAACTCACGTCTATACAAAAATCCCTAGCAAAAGCATCTGGATGCCACGAGAATATTCCAACTGCGGTCAGACGACGTTTTGATAGCAACATACCCTAAAAATGGAACCACGTGGACGCAGAAGATAATCCAGAACCTTCACAAAGTTCACAAGACAGGACACGACCTCACCAGGGGCGACAAGGTTTGGATTTATTACAAATTGTATGTATAAGAGCCGTAATTACACTAGGAAATTTCAGCTTCCAGCACCTCAATTGTGTCATATGCCATTTATAGTTGACTTACTAATTGGTTTCTGTACAAAAGTTCGGTCAAAACTGTGAAATTTCTGCCGGGGAAATTTCGTCTTCAAAAACTGAAAGTGGGACAAGAAATGGGAGAATATGATTTTTCCATTTTGTCGAGGATTGTGACTTCCAGTACCACAATTTGGTCTCATACCGTCCTCATTTAGCTGACTAATTGGTCACTGGGCAAAAAAATCCATCAAATCTGTCAAATTACTGTTCAGAAATTTTCATATTTGAAAATGAGACAGACTTTGTAAAATATGAATTTTCGTTTTGTTAAACATTCTGTAGGAAACTTCCTCCGACCGGAATGGTTTCTGTAGAAAAATTCGGTCAAAACTGTGAAATTTCGTCTTCAAAAACCGAAAATGGGACAAAAAATGGAAGAATATGATTTTTCCATTTTGTCGAGGATTTTGACTTCCAGTACCACAATTTGGTCTCATACCGTCCTCAATGATTTAACTGACTAATTGGTCACTGAGCAAAAATCCATCAAATCTGTCAAATTATTGTTCAGAAATTTTTATATTTGAAAATGGGACAGACCTGAGGTATTGCTAGTAGTGTAACTATGGTAACTAGTAGTGTAACTATGGTAACTAGTAGTGACAGTGTAACTATGGTAACTAGTAGTGTAACTATGGTAACTAGTAATGTAACTATGGTAACTACTGATACCGTAGGTATTGCTTGAAGTGATGCCGTGGTTAGAGAACACCCCTCATGAGATTGTGGACAAAATGCCGGGGCCTCGTTATCTCAAGACACACAACTCTTACAATTTGGTCGCTTACAATCCTAACATTCCCTGCAAATACGTCTATATTGCTAGGTAAGACTATAAAACTGGTTGCCAGCTTCTAGAAACTGATTCATGATATGCATGACTTCAAAGTAAAGACGTCTGTAAGAGTTAAACTTACAACCGTCACGTCTCTTTGTTATACTTAGTATAAGACAGATCTAGCTGAATGAAAGCTATTGAAATGCAATTGATAACGATCAGTGCTGACTGCCCAATATCTGCTAAATCAGGGCTATGACTATGATTATGAGCAATATCTTCAGGAACCCGAAAGACGTGTGTGTTAGTTTATATCATCACTGTAAAGGGTTCGCTGCGTTTGAGTACGACGGTCCCTTTGAGGAGTTTGCAGACCTTTTCTTGAAAGGAACGGTAAGGATAGTGATAGAATTAGATTAAAATTGATAATAAACTCGATATGTAGCCACAATTATAATCAACGAGTAAGTTTATTCCGTAAAGTTGGCTTGAGTTATAGCCAGTCGTTATTTTCTTCTTCTTCTTCATCGTAGGGGGGCTGTGGTCATTATCACTATTGGATAGATCATGACCACTGTAAGATAGAGCTTGGACTTGGAGCCCTGTGCTTACCCCGGTAAAATATCGATTAGTGGAGAAAAAACGCATTTCTCCGCCAGTCGTTATCACATGTCCAGTAAATCAAACACAAGGAATTGTTTTGAAAGGTATAACAACTGTGCAGGTGGAGAGTAGTGATTGGTGGGAGCATGTGAAGGAGTTTTACCAGAACACACGTGACATGGACGTGTTCTTCATGAAGTACGAAGACATGCACGCAGACGGGGTGTCAGGTACAGACAGTGATACTGTCAATTTGGGAGGGAGGGGGGTGTAGTTTACTTAATGATTTGCTTAACTATTAAATTTACACCTCCAAGAAATAAGCATATGATAATTGCTCCATATTACTTGAAATGCTCTGTACAAGATAAGTTTGCACAACAACGCCTCCCTTTTCAGCTATTAAGAAACTGAATGATTTTTGTTCCCTCCCTCCTATGACAGATGAGATGGCAACAGAGGTACTCCAACTCAGTGCCTTCAAGAGCATGAAGGCAGATCCTAAATCTAACTACAGCTGGCTGGACGACGTGAGTAAGATTACTGATATTTGGTAACCAACAATCGTTACTAATTAACAGTTAAACAGGCATGACCATGAATCAAAATCTTAACATACAGCAGAAAAGTAATATTTACTAAGAACTATACGCCTCAAGAGTCAAGATTCATCAAATAAAATTACCGTCTAAAAGATACTCTAGATAAATGGCCTACAGAAACGTCTTACACTTTTACTAACACAGCTAATCTGCCGTACAGGTGCGCAAGAAGGACCAGGCTCCATTTATGAGGAAAGGTACAGTAGGGGATTGGTCCAACTACTTCACTCCAGAACTAGCTGCCAAGTTCGACAACAAGACTCGCGAGGTGTTTGCAGATATTGACCTCGACTTCTGTGACAAACTCTGAAAATGGACTCTATTCACCTAGGTTTCACTTTGAAACAGATGCAAGTTTGGGCATCTACTGAATTGTGATAGTACTAGTATACTGTTGTTACTGCTTTATTCCTTTATAATTATTGGCCGTGAAATAAAATAGAGGGCGCTTTGTATAGTATTATTTGATACACGATGCATTTCCTTTTTAGCGCGCGAAAAGTGAAATGCAATGTGTATCAAGTAATTACAGATATTGCAAACCCGATCGATTTTTCGATGTTTTTTAAATGAAGTATGCAAACTTTAGTAATTAGTAATGAGTATTACTGCATGAATTTCATATTAATAGTTGGCATGGTGCCAATTTTTTGGTTTGTACTACAAATATAAATTATATACGACCATAAACTGTGTCTCTAAGACTACTTTAAAAGTTAAAACACGTCAATATAAATTATAAATAACTTTATGAATTGGAAAGTATATTTACAACTGAAATAACGGTATAAATAATTTACACGTAGCCGCGTGACGATAATCAGCTCGGAATTAAAAAGCCCCGATTTTAACTTAACATAAACAGAAATATTTAAGTTCTTAAATATAGGTATATTGTAAAAGTGAGATTACACTTCTTAGTGGCGTTTATAATAGATACTGTAAATGCTCAGAAATTCAACAAACGTTTATCAAATTTAGTGACCTCATATATAATACTGTTTACTGGTGTTGTCAAACTAAAATGACCGCTTAACCCCTCAGTTCTGACTTAAACCGTCGTTTTCTTTTGAATTGCCTCTCAGTTCGTTAGTTTCCACACTAATTCCGGGGAATAAAGTGAACCAAGGTCATTAAAAACAGTAGTACCGTAGGTAGTATCTGGCGACCAAGGTCGTTCATCGTCTCAATTTAAATTCCATGATGTGACAATTGTTATTTAGTATACCGATACGCCAATCAACAAGGAAGAATCCGCTCTTTTGGCTCTTTGATCACGGAAGAAGTCCTGGATAGCCTTGATTCATACAAATATTCCTTTCATTGAATCCTAAATAATATGAATTAGTAACACCCATCACCATGGTTACTGAATTAATAACACCCATTACGCTGGTAACTAACACGCATCACCCTGGTGACTAACACCCATCACCCGGAGAAACACACACAGATCACCCTCAGTGAAATAAACAGAGAAACCCTAACAGGAAGTATACATCAACTAATCCTAGTTCTCGTTTTGCCGCGTTTATTCCGCTCGAACCGGACAGTGTCCGCCTGGTGGCTGGTCATCTCAGCAAGTCTGTTGATAAACGCGATAGGAGCGTGGTCTAGAGGGTCCGGGTAGCCTGGTTGTGAGGGGGTTGGGTCCGGTTGTTTGCTCGTCTGTTTGGAGGAGTTGGCTGAGTTCTTGCTTTGTTTAGAGGTCGCTCTGGGAGGTGTAGGGGGTTATTTTTATGTGCTTAATGTTGCAAATATGTGACTGATATAATTAGACTCCAGCTAAACTGACAGATGCAGTGGATAATAACCACATTAGGTGTAACTATGGTAACTAGTAGTATAACTATGGTAACTAATAGTATAACTATGGTAACTAGTAGTATAACTATGGTAACTATTGGTAGTTTTGCTGCTTAGCCTTAATTTAACCATGGACATTAAATAAGGCTACTGCGAGGCATCTTACCCGTTTCTGTTGCAGGACAGCTTGCCATTACCACTAGAGTCACTCATCTTGCGGTGAACAAACGTCACAGTCAAATCAGAGCTGGTGGCTGGTGGCTTCTTCTGTTGGGGTTCCAGCTGAAGGACTGTGTTATCAGCTGATCTTATCTAATTCATCTAATTTTCATATTACATGTATACTGAATTAGGGCGGCTTCAATGTCCGAGCAAAATATTACACATAGATCTTCACAAAAAACAAGATCGGTACAGTTGTTGATCTCTTCAGTTAATTGAAATTATATTCAATCAAATCGATCCTCTAACTCAATAAAAGCAAGGATGGAGGTAGTTAACTCATCTCCAAGATAATAAAATAGATTAAAACACTGAAAACCAACCTGGTGCAGCTTGAGAGGCATAACAAACTGTTTCGATCGGAGAGGAGAGGGAGGAAGGAAGGATTTAGGAGTAACAGTGGTGTACAAATTAGGTACATCTATGTTACCCAACATATTATCTGAAATCGAGATAATTAAGCAAATATTAATAATATTAATTATTGTTAAGTTTTACTCTCCGCTCTTTTAATTAATAGTGACGCGCGCCAAAAATTGTTTATTTCAGAATATCACGCAAAATAACTTTGCGCAGTCTATATATACTAGCAGGAACCCGTATAATATAACCCTAAACGGTGTCAAGACTCAAGAGACTAAAATAATTATTACCTATTTAATTGGCGTTTTTGACACCACTTGGGGGTCCAAATTTTGGGCTCTAAAATCATTATTCCTTAGCCAATTTTTTATTTTTTCATGCTGATTTGTAGGCCATTAAAGCATTTGACCCAGTCAAAAAAGTTTCAGTTGTATATCTTTTACGGTCTTTGCAGAAAGTCGCGTTAAAGTTGATGCCGTGGTGTCAGTAAAATGGCACAGATATATATATATATATATATATCGTCTCGCTTTATATATAGTAAGATTGGCGCGTGGGCACGTACGGTCGCAGCTACCAGTACCGTATACGAGAAAAAAAACCTCGTTCGCTAACCGTTGTCCTTGACATAATGATATTTCAACTTAGTATAAGTATATAAGGTTCAGCCTCAGGAAGCTAGTGTTTATCAAACTACTTTACTAGTTGTTAATATTAACGTTACAATCCCTGGTTACGATATTCTAGCTGAAACTCAAGGAAAAAGTAAGTTACCCTTTAGATTTCCAGAACTAATCCGACTTGAGCAGGATTTACTGTCGCACCAGTGTGAGTAGTGGTCTGTGGTCCTGAAATAAGGGAAATGTTACAAAATGTTACAAAATGTTACAAAATTTAAGAAACAGCACAGTCACCTCCTGGTACTGCAATCTATTAAAAGATTAAACTTATAAAATGATTTCTGTGACAGTTTTTTGAAATTGTCCCATATTCAAACTACGATTGGCGCCCCCCTAAGATTGCGCCCCCCCCCGCACAGCGCGGGCCTTCGTTACACCACTGGTTTGAATTAGGGTCAGTAATGATGGTATTCAGCCGCAGATAAACGAGTGTAGAATCTTAAGATTGATAAATTTCTTTAAATTTGTGTCACATATTAATTTAATAAAAAACTGCCATTAGAAACCACGCCAGGATAGTTTAATTAGTTTCCTTAAGAACAGAAATATGCGAGTGGGATTGTATTCTGACTTCTGTGTTTCACAGTATATAACAGTATATTATAACAGGTGAAACAATAACATTAACAATACGTCCTCCTCAGAGAACAAGTTAGTGCTACTAACCGACAACCGTATATAATATACTAGTACTGCTACAGTATATACTATTATTATTTATAGTACCTACTGCAGAAGCTATAGCTGGGAATGTAAGAACGACTGAAAGCAGTACTATTTACTAGTTAATAACTCTAGCAGTACTATTTACTACACACTACCTAGTACTGTACTGATAGTTAATACGACTACTAGCAGGTAATAGAACTACCTACTACAGTGTAACTCACATCTTCCTACGATATTCTATCCGCAGTTAGGCGTTGTGTGTCGTGTCGTTCAATATTGCGATTAATTAAGTTAATTGGTTAGTAATAGTAATTGGTATACTTACTAATAAATAATTAGTGGCCATAAACCCGTTTAATATTTCGAAGCAAAATGGGTTATACGATGATGGAGAGATATGGTGTTCAAAAGGGAAAGAAATCGAATTTGAGTTAGGCACCAGCCACCTAACAACCGCCTAACAACCGCCTAACCACCTTCCACAGCCATTTGAAAGTTTTGGTATTTTTTATTATTATGGTTTTCTCATTTTTCTATTTTTACCTAATCCTATTTTTGTCAAATTTCTGACATCTGTCAAAAATTCTGGAACAGAAATAGCAGCTATTTTAGACGATAATTTTCTAGGCATAATTATCATTGACTTCTCCGCATAAAAGTGGCAGTTGATTCAAAAAATGATATTAGTAAAACCAACATCCTTGAAACTCATACAATCCTGGAAAAAATGCGTCTGTAAATTAAATTAAAGATTCTAAAATAACTGATTTTAGCAGTTTTTCAAAGATTTTCGTGCAATTTTTTCTCTCGATAACAGAGAAAGATTACCTGAGCAGATTGGAGTATGTTTGGTGTTCACAGCTCGATTAATGTTCAGCAAACTAGACAATGCGATGACAAAATATATGAGATTACTATTCACTATTCTTCTTTCTGTTCAACTTCAATATCGCAGTTGTATCCAATATAATATTATACGATATTATGAGACAAGCTGCTTGATCCTGCTTGATTTCAACAATATATTAGTAACAGGATAATGGATATTAGTGACAGTATATTAGTATCTTTTCACAGACAGTGCGTGTCCTAAAAACAAGCGGAAATTGTCCAGATTTTAAGTTTCTCCGACCGTTTTCACATCTAGATTATCATATTCATGAACCAGATTTCGAGGTTGCATAACTTCCTGAATATGTCAGGCACTTGTCCAACTTCACAGAGTAGATTAATCTGTCTGAATTAAGGTAGAAAATGAATTAGAAGAGTAGTGGAATATCATACCGCGTGTACCAACCTAACCGGGGTCATTCCGAACCCGGATATTAAGGTACCTGCTTCATTAGCCTGCAGATACACAGGTCTACACCCCGCAATCAGGGATCTGGTGCTGCAGCCCAGTCCCTGACCCCCACGTGACAGCTCACGCCCACCAATCAGAGCGCGCGGAGCCGCCCACGTGACCTAACGCTGACCAATGACGCGCGCGTACAAGCAGCACGTGGGCAGCACGTGACCGGACGTGTAACTTAACCCGGGATAGCGGACAGAGTTCCGTTACAGGAACTAGAATGTGTCGCCCGAGTTCAGGGGGTAATCTGATTACAGTATCTCTCACTGTCGATCTTCAGCCCCCTTTGTTTCCCCCTACTCCCGACCTACTTGCTCCCTGGGACCCGCGTGTTTCCTGCCTAGTGTAGTGTTGTGTTGTGTTCTGGTGTTTCTTATCTTGCGGTGCTTATCAGGTGTTTTTGTAGGTGGTCAGTCTTGATACTTGCTGCTTATCAGTGTGTACGTCTCGTTACTAATTATACAGCTCAATTATGGCTCCACTACCGGGGAATTTCCACCAAACTGGTTTCCCAAAATCGCATTGGAGTTTACAGAGAAAGTGAGAAAGTGAGACTTATTGAGCACGCACAGTACACATGAATTGAAGACAGTATTTCACATCACATTTCCCTTCTTAGGTTTCAACTTTATCAGCACAGAAAGGAGCCTCTACCAATATTGTTAAGAATAATGTTCCTCAGTTTGCCAATTCTTGGCTGATCGGTTGAAATGTTGACTCGTTGCCTGGCTTCCTGTTTTTAAATAACCTTTTTGATAATTATCATTTACACTTTGTTGTACATCACGTACGTGTGCTCTTGGTAGCCTCTAAATGTACAAGGGTCGTAAGGCGGTCCCAGGAGTGGACCTCGAAGTTGAATAGATGTGGTAATGGCAGGTTGGTGGCTCATATTAGTTACACAAACGTGAGCTTTAACAGATTGGACACGTGCCAAAACAAACCTCCTCCCTAGATATAGAGGGGGGGTCATGCACTTACTCCCTATCACTACAGTCTATTAATACATACAATCAGCTGCGATACAATACGTCCTGTCATGTAGTAGTAGTGGTAGTGGTAGTAGTCATGTGAGAATAGGAACTCACTGAAACTTTAAAATTAGCGCTACTAAAACCAGCAAATGTTGTGGTTGAAATGCCACTCTCAATTCTCATTACTTAGTCATTACTAACGTACTTACTCATCACTAACTGGCGACCCCGGAAATATTATACTTCCTCTATTCTTGTAAAATGGACAGCTCTTTGATCAAAAGTGATTCTGTAGAACTTGGCAGATACCAGAATATCCCTATTATACCTACCTTACTACCTTACTACCTATTATCTTAATTATATTCACTCCCTGACGGCACACAGTCCATTCTTATGGAACTAGTAAACACTAAACTACTTAGTAAACTGCTCATATAATGTAGCAGTAGGAGTAGTAACCATGACGCATATACGTTACTATAGTTACTATAGTTACTAAAGTTACCATGACGTATGTAATGAACTTGAAGGTTTAACAGTTTGCTCTCTCTTGTTTCTGGAAGGCTTCGTTTTCTGACGGTTTCAAACACGGAATAATGCTCCTAACTAGTTGCGAGTAGAAACCACTGTTACTTTTACAGTGTTTGACAATAAATAAAGTTACGTATGAATGTGTGTAATAATGTTATAAATTGTGTTAAGTATTAATCCAATAAATATTAATCCAAAAAATGTGATATCATTCCTGCTTAAGTAGCGTATTAAATATCACGATTGCTTACAATATTTGCTTATTTTATTATAATATTTTCTTAGAGAGTTACTATAAGAGTATAAGTATAATAGCACTAGTGTGTTAGTAAGTTATCATATTCACTAAGTTGAGTAACTATAGTAAAGGTTTCTATAGTAACTATTATACGTGTTACTATAACTATATCTAGTTTGTTACACGCACATGTTTCCTTCCAATTTGAACAGGAGACCTCAACAGTCGATCTTGAGACAGTCGATAGTTTTTAAATGTGTATTATATGTAGTTCTACTAGTACTATACCGTATACAGTAGAGATTCCACCTCAACAGTCCCTTATTTATTTCTCTCAGCATTTCATCGATATTTTTAGTTGAGAAGATTATTAGAATGTGGTATGAATTTTGTGGCTGAAAATACTCTTGAAACTGCTCTTGAAACAGCTCTTGAAGTGGACACAATTTGCTGTTCACCTTTTCCTGCATTTCTCAGTTTGCACCTTTGAAGAAGTCAGCATATTATGCGAGTACTGCAGTTAGTTATTTAGATCGTAACTTAGTTCATAATTACAGAAGTTATTAGCATGTATATTGTCTGTGCTCTTCCTGTAGAGGACCCATTTCTGAAACAAACAAAACCAGATCACCAACTAGTTCCGTTAATTAGTTCTGTTGTTTGATTCTGTTAATTAGTTTTGTGATTTTAATGCCGCCCAGGAACAGAATGTCGGTTAGTTTTATATCGGGACGGACAAAAGACTCAGTCCATCTAGTCTACAAAGATCACAGATTCAGTCGGGACAGAACCAGGAACGACACTATCTACTGGAGGTTGGTAACTACCTTAGTGCAAGAAATATAGGCGGCAAGAAATTAAGGCGATTCTGACAAAATCGCCTTAATTTCTTGCCGCCTTAATATCTGACCACCGTAATTTCTAACCGCCTTAATTTTTTTTCTTGCGATTTTTTCATAAGAAATTTTCGTGTGATTTTATTATTTTAAATTTACATGTCGATTTCGTTATTTGCTAGAATTCAATGAAATACATATTTAAAATAAATTAACTTGAGTCTAAATACATTAATATATCAATTAATATTCTCGTCTTCTCCTTCTTCATCAGAGTCATATATCTCCAGCAGCTGCAATCCATAACCAAGATAGTCGTCGTCATCTTGCTCCGTCGTGTCTGGAAATAGCTTCTTGATAATATCAGCTGATTCATCCTCCAAACGTTTGTCGAAGCTGTACTTTTCGTCGACTAACTTCTTGAGGAGCGTTATTCCCTTCTCTATGAATATACCAATTGACTTGCAGTTTGCTGATGTAGTGGATGTCTACCTAATTTAAAATTATAAACTTAGACGACAGAACAGCAATCACTATAAATATAATGTGCATGCACCATTTAGTTTTTATGTGACCAATGTCCAATATATCGTATTTTTAAACAGATTTCTATGCTTTATAGACTGATAAAAGAATAAAATTGACACTATTTCGACCAAAACTATAACCAAATTTGCGATCAAAAATCGTATTTTTTCCGAAAAAAATATCGCCTTAATTTCTTGCCGCCTTAATTTCTAGCGCCTTATATTCTTGCCGCCTATATTTCTTGCACTAAGGTACTCTTCAGTATGGGTCTTTTTAAAATTAGGCATACCAAAAGAATGTCATCGAATAATTCAATCAATTTTTTATCCCTGTTTTACTTCTGCAGGTGCATGATGAGTCGTAAAACAACCCTGAACCCCATAATTTGCAAAGCAAGGATTAGCACTGATAAAGATGGGAATATTATCTCAGTGGGACAAAGCCACAACCATCCTCCAAACAAATTAGAGATACAGGTAATAGGGAGTGTTCCAGCACAGTTCATACCTTAGATATTACAAGGCATACTCTCTTTAAATGAACTTCTTGTTTGTAGTGATATTGTTTCTAGATCCTAGTGTTTAATTTAGGAACTCCTTCCCTGCCTAGAGAGAATAAAACAGAACGTATTTCAGATAAGGACGTGTATATCAGACATTAAGCGTTTAGGTGTACTCCATGAGAAGGACCAGATGGATGTCTCGGAGAAGGACTTGTTTAAGAAGCTAGTAGAGAACTTCCCAGAAAAACTCAAACCAGAGCGAAGGAAGATAAGACCCAGGCAACAGAGACCCAAGCTCCAGAGACAAGATATGCGGGGACATCATGCTCCAGTGCTGAGTTGTGGATCACAGCTGGAAATAGGAATACCCTCACGAACAATGCCCACTTTTAGTCTGGCCCATCTTAACAACAACTCTCAGTTCCAACTCACTGTAGACATGAAACCTATGGTAGTGGAGCCGGAAGTGTCGTTACCCCCGGTAACCACGTCGTTACCCATGGTCACCAATCAACCCGCTCCATCACTACACCTTCCCCTGCAGGTATCCCCCCACAACAGTCTGCAGCCCCACCCTGCACCCCACACCCCTCCACTCAACTCTCCCGACATATCGCCCCAGTTTCCTCTAGAACCCTTCTCTGCTATGCTCGTTACCCCCGGTAACCACGTCGTTACACCCGGTAACCATGATAACGCTGCTATGCTTGCGTCTCTGGAGAAGGAGCTTCTGAGTCTCCTGGATGTGGAAGAGCTCTCTAAACTAATGCCTCTTCTCTCTGGTGCTGTGGATAAGAACACCTCACCCCCTCCCTCTCCTCAACCTTGGGCTCCGGAGATCGAGAGGTTGTTCTCCGAGGTTCTGTTAAGGAATCCAATAGCATGAGGAAGGTTTGTGACCCAGCGCAGGGTAGACAGCTGTGATCATGATAATGTTGATTAATGTAGGGCGGGGAGAAACAGTCAATTTATAGTTTTCTCAAGTTGTGAAGTTGGTATCAGATTCCATTGAAAATAACGACCCCTCCTGTTTTAAAGAAATGATTTGATTGTGTACTTTAGCAGATATCTATATTCAGACACCAAATTGAAATGAATCTGGATCTTATCAGAATAGATCAATGATCAGGATTTGAAACGAAGCAGAAAGGAAGAATTCTATAAACTAAAATAAGGATATTATATACTTCAAGTGATTTGTGAGTGGAACTTTTGCTCGTGAATAAAGTGACCCTCAGGACCGAGCTTTAATTCTGTATTTGAATTGGATAAAGGGAAAACTGTATTTTGATTGAATTTAAACGTTATACGGAAGATTTTCAGTCCTTATCAAAATTATCGAACATTTTTACCATGATGGCATGATAGTTAAATTTGAATTGTAAAGAAACTAAAATCCGCATGATTTTCCATAATTCGCAGAGAATTTTTGATATTGTCAATTCTCACCCACTATTACTAAACAGAATAAACTTAATTATTTATTCAACAAACCAGTAATCTAGTCAGGCGGATTACGTTGCATGCATGTGGAATTTAAAGAAGTTTTATGTAACTGATCGGAATTGTTAAACGAAATGAGGAGAGAAGAAATGAACAAGATAACCATGCAAAGTTTATAGAGTTTTAAATTATGCAACTAAGTTTTAAGTTATGCAACTAAGTTTTGATGCATCAGTTAGAAAGAGTTATTATTAACTGAATATTGTGCTTGTTATGCCCTTTTCTAATAAGACCACAGTATTTTATTTTCATGTAAAATAAATAACGAAATGTCCGGCAATGTCGTCAATCCTACGTAAGTAGGCTATAATATAATAGACACGGAAACAAACAAGTACGGCTTATTTAATATTATTGCGTATTAAAAATACACCTCTTAAAGGGGCAGGGGGGGGGGGGGGGGGGACCGGGGGTCTTTATATTAAGGTGCTAGCGTACACGAGCTCAAGGAGTTAATTCTGAAAGAGCAAATCAAAATTTAAGCAAATTTGAAATATGACTTTCTAGTAACCTCACTCGAACGCAAATATGTAATCGTAAGACATTTTCTAAAGCTAGTATTAGAAGTACTGATTGTTGGATAATATCCGGTTGTATTAGAAGTCAACTAGTAAAATATAACAGAAACTAACGAGGTGTTAGATCGGGTGGAGGTGGAGGAGGGTGGACGAGAAGACATACTCCACGCGGGTTTAGGGTACCGGGAAACATTCCACGCGTTCCTGATGTAGTACCCGCTCGAGTACCCTGTCCTGCTTTGGTGCACTGTCATGTTCTGGGACGGACTATGTTCCGGGACGGACTATGTTCCGGGAAGGAGGAGGTCTGTTCCGCAGATAAGAATGAGTAGACTGGAAGACTAGACTAACAAGATCGGTAGAGTCAAAGTACGATAACTGCAAGATAATTGAAGCAGGAAATTTAACAGAGTAAAAGTTTGTCACTGCTCGATTAAACAGAGTGAAAGTTTATCACTGCTCGATTAAACAGAGTGAAAGTTTATCACTGGATTACAGCTCGATATAACATGCGACACACGTTAGTAGCTCACTGTCAAAGAGACCAGACGATCAAGCCATTTATTTGCTTACTTAGTCACGTGGTTACCATGCATCCCTCTGATTGGCGAGCGTTACTGTAACATGTTAATGGAATAGAGCGGTAAAGTGCCCTATCTTCACACGCCTATCTGGAGCTAGCTGTATCTAGCAGTGAACTACAGCAAGCAGGTATCAGATCGTTGTAGCGCCAGTACTTGGCAGCACCCCCCCCCCCCTCTCTGAGAGGGGACACAGGTAACTAAACAGGTAACTGAACAGTAAATAGAGAGAAACTAGACAGTGAGCTCACCACAGAGTGGCTTCTTTTAGACAAGCTACTAGAGCGTGTCAAGATACTGTGTCAAGTTAAACTTAATCACGTTTATCTGGTGGTTAGCGAGTAGAGCAGTGTTTCAACGAGCAGTATATAAGCAGAGGAGAGGAGAGGAGGAGAGGAGAAGTTGACAGTGAGGAACTGCTTGTGTATCTGATCTGGTGGTGACTGGTGGCCGCGCTTCTACTAGAAGTCTTCTGGTGTCATTTATAATAATAATCAAGTCTTGTTGATATTAGCTTGAAGTGAGGTTTAAGGAGTAAGGAACATGTTGAGGTTTAAGGAGTAAGGAACATGTTGAGGTTTAAGGAGTAGGAACATGTTGAGGTTTAAGGAGTAAGAACATGTTGAGGTTTAAGGAGTAAGAACATGTTGAGGTTTAAGGAGTAAGAACATGTTGAGGTTTAAGGAGTAAGGCCGACATGTTGAGGTTTAAGGAGTAAGGGACATGTTGAGGTTTAAGGAGTAAAGAACATGTTGAGGTTCAAGGAGTAAGGAACATGTTGAGGTTTAAGGAGTAAGGAACGTGTTGAGGTTTAAGGAGTAAAGAACATGTTGAGGTTTAAGGAGTAGGAACATGTTGAGGTTTAAGGAGTAAGAACATGTTGAGGTTTAAGGAGTAAGGAACATGTTGAGGTTTAAGGAGTAAGGAACGTGTTGAGGTTTAAGGAGTAGGAACACGTAAGATGAGAAGGAGGTCTAGTCCTGGTCTAGTCGCGTGATGAAAAATTTAACTACAGTATCATTTTTAAGAAATAGAACATTTTTCCAATCCAAAACTTTTGTGCCCAAAGCACAAAAAGTCAAAGACTAGGGTTACCGATAGAGATGGTCTAACTGTGTATATTAAGACGCAATGAAACTACCGGACCACGATGTATGGGGACTTGCCACCCCATGGCAACATTAAAATATATCGACTCTGTTACATCGTTTCCTCAAATTATTTGTTTTATAGTAGCGTTGAAAGTATAAAAATGGCAGCTAGTGTCCGCGTGCATTTAAAGGAGTAAGGAGGTTTGAGGAGGATCAGAGGAGTATGATTAATCAGGGAGGGACTAACATTTAACAATTACAGATTGTTTCTGGTCTGGTCACATGATTAACAATGCAATATAGCTATTAACCGCATTTGCAATATAGCTATAACCTCATTTGCAATATAGCTATAACCTCATTTGTAATATAGCTATAACCTCATTTGGAATATAGCTATAACCTCATTTGCAATATAGCTATAACCTCATTTGTAATATAGCTATAACCTCATTTTCAGTAACTTGGAAATATTTGCTATTCCCGATTTCAGTATCGTGGCCAAGAGGTCCATTTTAGATTTGATTTTAATTATTGAGATTTCATGCATAATAAAATCTTTACTCATTCACTACAGGTCAGGTTGAGATTATGAGATATTACAGAAAGTAGTCGCAATTCGTACAAGTAAATTGAAGGTAATGACTTATAAGAAATATTGCTTGATATCATCATCTTCAGGACTATATCATATAGGACACAATCATCATGCTTGCTCGACCACTCTTCTAATGGGGCGGGAGTTCCCATTAAATAAAATAAGGTATTAGTAAGCAATATTATCCAGGGATGAAAAAGAGACAGTGTGAGAAAAGGAGAGATTTATAAAGTGGATACGTGTCTTCTTTCATGATAATAGTAATTAAATCTAATTCAATCAAAATACCAGGAAAAGAAGCTAAGGGTTGATTTCAGAAATTTTAAATACATATACTCTTATACTGCCCACATAAAGATTAGTTAAAACACGATCGAGATTACCCCAAATAAACATAAGTTAAAACGCGAGAGTGGCTGGTACCTTTTGACTTTGTGTCGCTGGTAGATCTTGTAGACTTGGCGAAGGGAGGCGGCTACCCTGTCAGTCACACATCTTCTCCACTGTTCACGTCCCGGACCAGAGTTCGCTATCTCCTGCGGGCCACCCAGCTATCATTTCCCGTTTAACTGATCCATTCCCAATACTTCTTAAACAATGACCAGCGCTACCAACGTTTGACTTCAATATAATTAGCTTCATATCGCCAAATCACAAATTCAGTCGATTAAATTTCATCCACCAAACTTAATCTACCAGAAAAGCTGATCATAAAGGACCCCGGTGAGCTACCTGAATTTTAGTAGTAAAATTATCATGACTATAAGTTGAGAAACGATCAGTGTCGTAATCTGAAACAAGGCTCTCTATCTCACTCCGTAACCATGGAGACGAACACGATATCATCTTACCTGAGTCTGACAAACCATCTCAAACTTAGGGGATCATGGGTAAGGGACAAGATCACGATTGGAATAGTTTACAAAATTGAAACTAAAGCAACATACAAAGCAGTTATTTAAATACGATACTCTGATTAAGACGTCTTATATACGAGAGTTTGTAATTATTTCGCTGACCACTGAGAATTTTTGCCAATTTATAGCTTTATAAGGTAGATCAAGCATGACCTGATGCATCGTCAACCAGGCACCTGCAATTGTAAACACATCAAGGAAGTTTATAAACAAATGTGTCCGTGTGTTTATATTGTTGACAATATCCGCCCCACCACGGAGACTTATAGGCCCTGCTCCTTTGATTATCCTCGTCTCTAACAACTACAATTGTAGTGTTTGTCCACGGAGCGATCCGCAGAAAAGAAAAACAGGATTGTAAAAGAAAAAACTAGGCTAGGGAGCTGTAGCAGGGTGGCTCCTTCATAAATCATCCTGCTCCTTCATAAATCTGCTTGTGACATAGTGACATCAGACAGGAGTACACAATAAAGAAACAATAGGACAGGAATTTAAAATAATACTCCAACTGATTCTAAACTGCGGTTCTACATATTCTAAACTGCGGTTTTATTTATTAGATTAGACGACAAAACAATATCGCAATGACAAACCTGAATAGAATGTCTATGGCACTTTTACTCACTGATAGACACGACTCTCACCTTCTCAAATGACGATCCCCGGGAAAGTCTCTCAGAACTTCAGTACTAAGGTCGTACATCATCATGACCCTCATCTTCCCCAATCTCTCAAAACCTAGTGACTACAACGTGTAACGACTACGATACAGTCAGTCTCACAACTGCCAAGTTAAACTGTTTAATGGCTTGTTACTTTAGCCACTGAACCTGCGATGAAGCCAGCAAGCGATGGAATTCGTGTTGCGTCATATTTTGTTTTATACCTATACTGGTGGTCAGCAGTACCACGTGATGGATCTGAGGTGCACGTGCTAGATCTGAAGCGCACGTGCGTTTAGAAAGACACTCTGAACTGCCCACGTGCGTTCAGAAAGACACTCAGAACTGCGCTTGAAGAAAATCAGCAATCTGATTAGGATGATTGCTTCTCAAGCAAAGGTCATGCGCTGGTCACAAGACGTCTAGATTTGGTCACGCATTCCTCCTGCGCTGCAGCTGTAGTATTAGGTTAAAGATTTCAACATTGTGGTACTAGAATGTCAGCAGTGTGTATGCAGTTTTACATGGTGCTCACTAATTACCAGCTCTATAATAGAGTGCAGCTGACTCTTGAGTAACTTTGTGGAGACTGGAGAAAAATAAACTAAGTACTACTACTAAAATTATAATAGGAGTCCTTAAGCTGTCACTGCACTGTAAAGAGTGCAGCTCAGCAGCTGTCTCAATTAACTCAAAGACCACGTACTAAAATTGAAATAAGTATCTTTCATCCGTCACCTGGAGCAAAATAATCAGAGTTGTGTAATAAGTAGAGGGCTCTTGATTACATCTTAGGAGGGTTATTTACGTCTTTGTTAGTTAGCAAACAGTTGCATGAGGGCTAGGTTGGGTTCCTAACTACATGATTACCATTCTCCGAGCCTAAGTTATGTGCCCCCTCTGAGGTGTGTGCCTGGATCTCTATAGTTCCGTGTCTTCTGGTTTGTAAACAAAGATCAATCAAGAGGTCCGGACTCCGCAGGGTCTTTCTTTGTAAATATTGCACTCATTTTAGTTGCTATATAAAAATTTGAAGCTGTAGTAATTATTTTCGCACGCGGAACATTAATTCAGATCTGTATGCTACTTTTACTTTAGTTCCAACCTTAATTCTGATCGGAGCAGCAAAAAAAACGGAAATTTATTATGATTAATTCACGGTAGGGAACATCTGCAGCATGTACCAGCAGGTGATCTTCACTTGTTGATTAGTTAGTAGCGTCCTAAGGTTTGAGTTCGGTTCCTTTTTATAGTTCGCCAAGCTACGTCGTGTGCTGATACATCCCTTTTTCCTTTAAATATTACTAGACAAGTGGTACTGACACTGCTAAACCCTCATATCAACACTAACCCCACACAAACCATCAGCTTAGGAGATGAACCTGCTAGCACGAGGAGTGCTCCTAACCTGGACCACTCTCTGTGGGGTCACCTCTCTGACGGGGAACATTGTAGTGCTCATCTCCTCTCTCAAGTACAGAGCTATATCCCTAGACAAGGTCTCAGTGTGTCTCATCTGCCATCTAGCTGCCTCGGATTTGATCTACACTTGCATCTACATCCTTCCTACTATACTCACTATCATCTGTGATAGGTGGGTCTACGGGGATTTCCTCTGTGTTGTGTCTCCCTACGTAGCCCTCTACTCCGCAACCGTTTCTACTCTTATCTTGTGTGGGCTAGCTCTCAGCAAGCTTACATGTCTGATCTGGCCCTTGAGAGCAATGGTGAGGTCGACTAGAACGGGCAAGGTTATTGCAGGAAGTATTTGGGCTGTCTCCATTCTGCCGTTCTTACCCTTCATGCACAGCGGTTTACAGTACTACCAAAAGATGATGTTCAGGTGCATTTCCAGTGAAGCATCGGTAGAGAGCGGAGAGATTGAAGAGTGGTCGAGATGGGCAGCTATTGGAGCTGCATGCTTCGCAATATATTTGCCAGTTTTAACTGTAACTTTCACAACCATCAAGATGATCTTCTTTGTAAAAAAAGTGAGTGGAATTCAAAAGCAGGCAGTAATGACAATGATCGCAATTTCCTGCCTTTTCTCGGTCTCTTTACTTCCCTATGGTGTAGAGATGACTCTAAAAGCCACTATCAATGAATACCCACAAGTCCTGACAACATTTACAACTTTCATCGTTTTCCTCAACTACACGTGCAATCCTGTCGTTTATTACTTCACCATCAAGAGCTTCAAAAGGTTTGTACAAAAGCATTTGAACGTTATGAGGATCAGTATGAAAAGCAAGATGGACAAGGCTGAATTGCCGATGACACAGCAGTCTGGCGTTATGCCAAGCCACCAAGACATCACAATTAAAGTGCTGAGGAACTAGAGCCGAGACAATGCAACTTTAACCAAATGATTATTAAAAGAAACATTAAATGTAGATAATGACAGTGCATTAAATGATAAATCAGCAAAAAACAGAACAACCATCTCTTTTACAACTCAGATACAAACTCAGTCAGCAAGAAACATAGAGGAACCAGACTGCACAAGGAAGAAGGATCTAAACATAATGTGATTTTCATAATCATAAAGATAGTTGCTCCTACATAAAGATAGGTGCTCGCATACAACTCTAATCTCTCTATATTTCTGTGACGTAAAACAACATAATATTAATATCAGCTCTGACCAGGCTAATCTCCAGGCTAAATTAGATATATCTTATTACATGCTCTAACTTTCCAATAGGCTTTAATCTTGTTTCTCTGACAAATAGTCACGGTACAGGGACAAATTATTTGAGAGCTGATTTGTCGTAAAAATTATGCATTTTTTGTATTGCATTTCAGATACTACAGTTAACGTCAATTTATCGTGTAGATTGCGGGAAACGTAATGGCCGCGATAAATCGGGGTTTTACTGTACTATCATTATTTGAAGAGACATGACAATTGTCAGATTGTTAATGGAATTATCGCTTTGAAAGATTCGTTATTTTTAATAAGTTTATAAAACCGATTATCAACAGAATCTCTAAAATAAAACACAACAAATGAATGGCAAACATGATGATTGTGTCTTCGTAGAGACTTAATACCATGAAAAAAGTGGACAGTCATCTCCTGCAACAACAGTGCACACAGCATCTGCACAGTAATCACTGCACTATAATCACTGCACTATAATCACTGCACTATAATCACTGCACTATAATCACTGCACTGTAATCACTGCACTGTAATCACTGCACTGGTAATGTAAATAAAAGTGTAGAGAATTTTCAATCCAGCTTGCACAACATAAGTATAACGACCACAGCAGATATATCACGGACTGTGGAGTCCGAGTATTCTGCTGTATTAGGAGGATCACACACGAGAAGAGCTGGAGAGAGCTGGAGAGAGGAGAGGAGAGTCTACTGCTCTACAACTGCTCTTTAAGGACCACCCAGGATGACTTGCTTTACACCCCCGCAACGAGGTTCATGGTTATAGTTGTCATGGTTACACCCTACAGTTGTCATGGTTAATCCTATAATATTATAATCGAAGTGATTCCAGGAGAGTCCGGCAATTTCTTTGAAAAACTGTCAATTTCTGTGATCGAGTGATAGCAGGTCTGTATTAGTAAATTGGGTGTAAGTCATCAGTTAATTTGACATCATTCGTCCCATTATGAGATCAAACAATTCTCTCTACAGTTATCAGAAAAGAGTTGATAAGAAGCCGCGCAGAAGAGATATTTATCTAAACGTTTGATTAGCATATAATGATAAATTTTAATATGATATGAATATGTGAATAGTATACTATCACAAACTTAAATCGAATACGATAAAATAAGAAACTTGGACTTTAAGATGATCGGCACCGCCCTACAAAGAAGCCGCCGAAAGGAGAGAGAGAGAGAGAGAGAGATAGAGAGAGAGAGTCTCCCCGACACACTAACACAGATTTTAAAGTAAGTGAAGAAAAGACAAAAGCGAGATGAAGAACACCGATCTAACAGTTTACTGTAATAGAGTTGTAACTTTGTAAGAAGTGAGTTGTAACTTTGTAAGAAGTGTTTAATCCCCGGGCAGATAGTTTCTCCAGGGTGCTCTTTTCTAGGATACCCACTATTTTGCTTCAGTAGGAAAATAACTTGACAATTATACATATAACGGGAGTGATAAGAGACGTTTATGAGAGACACTGGATCGGAGAATAGTGAGTAACAAGTAAGTATAACAGAGGGAACATACCCAGGTAGGTTAGCGTTGGGGGGGCTGTTCAGACTGTCCAGCAAAGCTATAGTGCTGGTGAAGGCTGGTCTTCTGTGACCACATCTGTGGCACCTGCAGGGGACTGACTTTTACTTCCAGGCCTGCACACAGTGCTGACATTGGGGCTAGTGTAACACACAATGCTGACATCCTCACTCCTTACTTTATTAAAGTATTCTTACTCAACCCCAATCTGTTTGGCTACAACGCCACAACTTTCGTATTTATTACAGACTAATGGAGGACAAATTGGTACGAGTACGACTCCTTGATGTCACGACACGAAATTAGTGTTTAATATACTCTTGTGAAACAGGTCTAACTTTGCATGTTTTTAAACATCCATTAAAATATCCAACAAAAAAAAGGTATACGAAATAAAACCACTGACGGACAAATATTTAAGAACTTCAAGGGCTATGGAAAATTAATATAGATTGACCGATCTATAAACATCTGTAAAGATGAAGTTTGAAGTTAAAACATTTTCAGAATGATTTTACCGATGATTCTGATGTACGTAAAAGCAAAGTTTTTATCTGAACATTTAATTTTTAGAGACTGTTAAGTGTTAACAACATTGTACTGTAAAAAGCTTGTAAGGAGGTTGAGACAATACAACTTACAACAAACCCATGCTACCATGGTTACAAACCCATGCTACCATGGTCACAAACCCATGTTACCATGGTTACTAACACATGTTACCATGGTTACTAACACATGTTACCATGGTTACTAACACATGTTACCATGGTTACTAACCCATGTTACCATGGTTACAAACCCATGCTACCATGGTTACTAACCCATGCTACCATGGTTACAAACCCATTTTACCATGGTTACACTGTTCTTACGTTGCTAGGTGGATCCAGTTGTAATATTTGAACTTGTTCCCCAGAAAGTGAGGTCTTCTCTTGAACCCCTTCATTTCCAGCTCTCTGTTTTAGGTTGGTTGTTAAGTCCAGTGCAATAGACAACTATAAAACAATGAAACTAAAAACTGTGAACCTGTTCGGCGACTAACGTCAGACAAGGAAAATAATCAGAAACGTTAGTAAGCAATCATAGCAAAACAAGCAAGTTCGGCCAACTATGAAGAAATGCACATGAACAATCACAGATTAGCAATCATGGTTAATATCTACAAACACAATCTAGATATTGGAATGACGGAATTGTTGAACCAGGAGCATAGAGACATAAATATGATGAAGTAAACTTTGATATCCAGATCAGTTTATGAAAGTGATCCCAAATAAATAGAAAACTTTCAAGAGATCACATAAACTGATAAACAAAACTAAGTAAGCGGAAATGGTCGGAATCGATCTGTTTTCTGGCTCTTATTGAATGCCAGTTGAGTTAGTCAGGACACGGTTTAAATGTTTAATGTTATAATTTTAGTAGAGTATCCGGACCACGTGGTATTTCCTGCATTACTTGTAACAGATCCATGCTACCATGGTTACACTTGTAACAGATGTTACCATGGTTACACTTGTAACAGATGTTACCATGGCCATGGTTACACTTGTAACAGATGTTACCATGGTTACACTTGTAACAGATGTTAAGGCAGCTATGATCATGTATTACTGATAACCGAATTAGCAGCACCGGTTAAGATGTCCACAAGGAGTGATGACCAATTTAACAGCCAGGAAAGAAATGATTTGCGGAGACTGAACAAGTATCTGGAATTTTTTTAATCTATTATCTTATTCTTGAACTTAAATCCAAATTTTAATAAATTCAATATCCATTATCATAATTTTTTTATATTTGTGTATACTGAAAAATTTGCCATACAAAATGCTAATCAAATTTTTGTCCCAGCCGGTATCGAGTATAGGCTCATGTTATTAGTTGCTATCGTAGTGGTTAACTGATGCTGCAATTATTTAGGGTCATTGGCTCGCTTATAGCTATACATGAAAGTATACTAGAAGTAATATACCTTACTTGGATCCCGAATAGGGAGGTTCCCTAATCACGAGGGTTATTAGCTATGACCTATCGATGTTAACAAACTTTAATTAATCATATATAATACAGCTTATTGTACGTGATTTAGTGATTGCATACATGTGCAGAATTACCAATATCCATCAGTTTTCACTTTTAAAGTTTTCTTTGGAGCTAACAAAGTAACAATTGCATTAAGAATCATGCTTACTCGCAAATGAATAAAACTAAAGCACCAGAAGCTGCTGCAAGGTTTCTTAAATAATTTAGACTATAACACGATCCCAGTCATCCCTTCAGAACGGTTAAAGTGACTATTAAATGAGGGCTGGATCTAAGAAAGACTGGATGAATAGGGACGATCGGGAGTAAAGGAAATGTTTACAAAGCTTATTGTACGGCAAGTGGCGGCGCTAATCAGATGAAACTATTACTTTAGCCACATGCAAAGTAAAGTCCGGATCAGATTTCCGTAATACTTCAATAAACTTCACAACGTTCAGACCGTTACAGTTAGTCAATTACTCGGGCCATCTTAAAATCATGGCTCTCGGTTAGAGCAAAATAAGGATTTTTGAATTTTGTGATAATCGTTACCGTCTGCCAGCCGTAATTGTTGCAACGCAGATAGAATAGGACGATCTCGGTTACAAAAACACAGATTTGAGACCTCTAAATAGGACGATCTCGGTTACAAAACAACAGGTTTGAGACCTCTAAAATAGTCCGTTCTCGATTACAAAACAACAGATTTGAGACCTCTAAAATAGGACGTTCCCGGTTACAAAACAACAGATTTGAGACCTCTAAAATAGGACGTTCCCAGTTACAAAACAACAGATTTGAGACCTCTAAATAGGACTTTCCCGGTTACAAAAACACAGATTTGAGACCTCTAAATAGGACGTTTCCGGTTACAAAAACACAGATTTGAGACCTCTAAATAGGACGATCTCGGTTACAAAACAACAGATTTAAGACCTCTAAAATAGGACGTTCCCGGTTACAAAACAACAGATTTGAGACCTCTAAAATAGGACGTTCTCGATAACAAAACTACAGATTTGAGACCTCTAAAATAGGACGTTCTCGATTACAAAACAACAGATTTGAGACCTCTAAAATAGGACGTTCCCGGTTACAAAAC